TTCAGCCCTCCTTCCTTCAAAGCTTACCAGGCCCATGCCCCATGCCTCAGAGCCTAGGAGGACCCTGAACTGGCACCCTAATTTGCATTAAGGTATCAAAGCCTGTGGAACATAGTGCATCTCTCATAGGCTTTGCCTCCAGTGTTTTGGCCCAGTGGAGTAACCCATGAAGATGTTAAGCTGGTGGGACAGGTCTGTGGTCCTCAACCATGTCACAGAGAAACTCAGGTATAGAACATGCCTCCATACCTCCCCAAATCCTGACCCCCTGGAGGAAGTAGAAGGAGAGAGCCCAATTCAGGGCCTTCCTCACACTCTGCCTCCCTCCCACATCTTCTGTCCCTGGCTGTGCCTTCAGCTCCCCCGACGGAAGGAACAGGGGCTGGGACAGCGGTATCAGAGAATGGGGATGGAAGTCGGGCTGTCTCTGTTGGGGCAGATGGGGCCCCTCTGTCCCCTCCCCAGCCCAGGTAACCTGAGCCTGGCATTTTGTCCATCTTGGAACAGCTGACAGTGCTGTGCTCAGACAGCTGGTGGGGCTGGGCTGGCCTGGCTGGGCTGGGAGCATGGGCTGTTACATGAGACCCAGAGTCTACATCTCTCTACCCTGAGCTGGGGAGCTGTTGTCCCACCCGTCACTGTAGAGAGCTGCGGCACCATGCTCAAGGGCCCGGGGCTGCCGCTCCTCCTGCTGGCTGTCTGCTTGGGTGTGGACACAGGGGATCTGGGGCCTGGGGAGGCCTGGAGCAGAGATCCAAGGCCTCAGGGGACAGAGGGTCCGGAGGGTTATTGAAGCCTGTCCCCACGCCCAGCACCCTACTTCTCCACATCACACCTTCTTGTGGCCTCCCCTCTTTCTGCCCCAAAGGCCCTGTACCCAGGCTCAGTGCTGTCTGTTGCAGGAGCCGAGGGCCGGAACCAGGAGGAGCGTCTGCTCGGGGACCTGATGCACAACTACAACCCCCACCTGAGGCCCGCTGAGCGTGATTCGGACGTGGTCAACGTCAGCCTGAAGCTCACCCTCACCAACCTCATCTCCCTGGTGAGCCACAGGCCTATAGGACAGTGGGGGAGACAGAGGCCCAGTGTACCCGGCCCCCGGGACCTGCTGGGGAGAGGCAGGGGTTGGCTCTAGCAGCCAGGCGGGGGAAGGACTCCACAGGTGGGAGGCTGGGGAGCTGGAAATCTCCCACGAGGGCTGCCCAAGAGGCTGCCGTCCTATAGCACCCAACGGGGGCCTATAGGGACTAACATCTGGAGAGGGCAAGTGATGGGGGTTCAGCCTTCTGTTCTGCACCCTTAGAATGAGCGAGAGGAGGCCCTCACCACCAATGTCTGGATAGAGATGGTAAGAGGCCACCCTGCAGTCCTTTTCTATCGGGGCCCCCACCCTCGGGTCCCAAGGCCCTTAGAGCTGCCTGCTTTCCCCCGCCCCCTCCCTGCCTCCTCTGACCCACCTGGGCTAGGCTCCTATTCCTGGGGGTGGGGAGGGGGTGACTCGGCCTGGCAACCCCACTCCCCCTGCAGCAGTGGTGTGATTATCGCCTGCGCTGGGACCCACAAGACTACGAAGGCCTGTGGGTGCTGAGGGTGCCATCCACCATGGTGTGGCGGCCGGATGTCGTGCTGGAGAACAAGTGAGGAGGGGTGCAGGCGGCGGGGGGCCGGTACAAAAGGACACAAGGGTAGGGCCCGGTACGATGAGGGGGCTCTGGGGAAAGGGACAGGCGAACGGAGGTTGCAGACCAGGGAATACTGGCTGGAGCAGGTGCTGCTGAGGGGAGGGCCGGGCCGGCAGGCCTGATTCTCAGCCCGCTCCATCTCCTCTGGGCTGGGTTGTCTGGTGGGCTACTGCCCTCCCTCGAAGCTCTCAGGAGTCAATAGGCATGAAGCGCTGCCCTGGGGGCGCCTCCAGCACTTTGAAAGAGCTGAAGGGTTGTTAGTACCACTGTGACCAGGCCCTGGGGAGGAGGGGACGGGGCGGAGGAAGCCCTCCGGCAGGGAGGTAGTGGACCCCGCGAAGGGCTGCTGTCCCCAGGCCCCATCCACGCAGGGCGAGGGCTGGCCTGGGGTGCGGGACTCGGGCGAGCCGGGGCTGCCGGGGACGGGAACCCCCAGCCTCAGGGCCTGGCCTGTGTGCAGCGTGGACGGCGTGTTCGAGGTGGCCCTCTACTGCAACGTGCTGGTGTCTCCTGACGGATGCGTCTACTGGCTGCCGCCCGCCATCTTCCGCTCCTCCTGCCCGGTCTCTGTCACCTACTTCCCCTTTGACTGGCAGAACTGCTCCCTCGTCTTCCAGTGAGGCCATTTACTGGGGGGGCCCAGGGAGATTTAGAGAGCTGCCCTAAGAGGAGCCTGGCTGGGTGGGGGACACGAGGCTTCTCGCCAGGGGTCCGACCCCGGCTCTCGGGGGCCCTCTGTGCCCGTCTCAGGTCCAGACACCCGGAGATGCCCACGTCCCTCCCTGCTAAGCCGCAGTCCCCCCGCTCATCCTCCTTCCCTGCCTCAGTTTCCCTGCCTGTGCCCCAAGGGAGGAATTAATGATCGGGGTGGGTGGGCAAGAAGGCATGCACGAGTGTCTCCCCACACCCCCTGGAGAGGTGGAGGCTGTCTCAGTCTCCTCAGCTGGAAATGGGGGAAAGGAGGTCTGTGTGAGGGTTTTCCCATAATTTAGAAGAGCGGTCTTTTTACAAGGAGACCCTCCTTAACAAACAGACCAGACAGGGACAGACGGCCGTTTCTGTGTTCTAACCATTGGTCCCTCCTGCTCTGGAGGCAGTGGAAGGGAGGAACGGAGTGGCCCTGGGCTCTTAACATCTGGTGAGGGCACTGAGCTGCAGCTTCGCGGCCCTTCCCCAAAACTTCCCTGACCCCCATGGAGCCCAAGTCCCCTTCCCACCCCCCATCTCGTGGCCAGGGTTCTGTGGAGAACTCGCCAATTCCTGGCTGCACTTTTTTGAGGCAATACTGCCCACAGTTGCCCTCAGAGGATCGTCTGTGTGACCTCAGACGTGGGTCTACACACACTCAAATGTCTCCCCCTTCCCTCCCCATCTCCCAGGTCCCAGACCTACAGCACCAATGAGATCAATCTGCAGCTCAGCCAGGAAGATGGTCAGACCATCGAGTGGATTTTCATCGACCCCGAGGCCTTCACAGGTAACCTCCTCCCAGGACCCCTGCTGGACGTGGCCTCCGGGGCAGGGCCAGACCAAGCTCAGACCCCCTCCCACGTAACTCAAGAGGAAAACCACAGTAAACCATAAAACATATATCTTTAAAAGCCCAGCACGGTTCTCTTTTCCCCATGCTAATATCTCCAGTTTGGGGGGCTGGGGATCAGGTATCCAGGCTCCCTGCCTGGATGCTGCTCCTTTGGGCCCACGCCAGCCGCCCTGCAGTTAGGTGACCGGCGCTGCACTCCCTGCACCCACCCTGGCCTGCTGCCCACAGAGAATGGGGAGTGGGCCATCCGGCACCGGCCGGCCAAGACGCTGCTAGATGTGGCAGCACCCACCGAGGAGGCGGGCCACCAGAAGGTTGTCTTCTACCTGCTCATCCAGCGCAAGCCCCTCTTCTATGTCATCAACATCATTGCGCCCTGTGTCCTCATCTCCTCGGTCGCCATCCTCATCTACTTCCTTCCGGCCAAGGGTACCTGGAGCCTGTGGGAGGGGAGCTCCAGCCTCAGGCGGCAGCACAGGGACTAGCTGGGAGGGCACAGGGTTGAGGCGCCACACACAGGGCCACCTGTCCCGGGGACCAGGGCCACTGGGCTCCTTGTGGGGTGAGGGAGGTGCCCCACGGTAGGAAAGTTGAGATCTGCTCTGAAGGCCTCTTGGTTATGGGCAGCGGGGGGTCAAAAGTGTACCGTCGCCATCAACGTGCTCCTGGCCCAGACTGTCTTCCTCTTCCTCGTGGCCAAGAAGGTGCCCGAGACGTCCCAGGCAGTGCCACTAATCAGCAAGTAAGGCTGGCCCTCATGCCTACCGCCCAGCTCCTCCCCTCCCTTCCCCGGAACTCGGGGCACCAGCCTCCTGCCGCTCCCGCCCCCACCACCCTCAAGGCCAACCCCTCACCCTGAGGAGTCTGGGGGGATCGGCTGCTAAGGGTGGGAGTGCATCTGGAGATGAAGTGCCAAAGGGCCAGCCCCGCCTCCTGCCCACCCAACCCCAACAGGTACCTCACCTTTCTCCTGGTGGTGACCATCCTCATTGTCGTGAATGCCGTGGTCGTGCTCAACGTGTCTTTGCGGTCCCCCCACACACACTCCATGGCTCGCGGGGTCCGAAAGGCAAGGCCCCTCCCTGTCCACTCCAGCATCCTCCTGTCCAGTCCTCTCCACCCCCTTCCCCTTCCCTACTCACCTGCCACATTCAGCGGCAAACCTACCCTGTGTGTATCTTGAAGCACGTGCCCAATGAATTAATATAATGCTGAGTGCTTACTATGTGGCAGGTGTATTATGCATCCGAACGCATTTGATCGTCATAGAACTCCTAGGAGGTGGGTATTAGTCGCATCTCCATTTTGCAAGTGAGGACGCTGAGGCACAGAGAGATACATTAGCTTACCCAAGGTAGCCTGGTGAGGAAGCAGAAGCAAGATTCTGCCCAGGCAGTCTGGCTGGGGAGTCTGTGTGATCTGCAGCCCACCTGCAGCAGGCAGCTAGGACCCTTGTTGCAAATGCAGATCCTCAGGCCCACCTCAGGCATCCTGGGCCAGAACAAGGGGGGTGGGGCCCAGGAACCTGGGTAGCAAGTGTCCTGGTGATGCTGACATGCACACAAGTTGGAGGACCTAGGCTCAGTGTCTGGTACAGAACAGCCGAGCTATTCCGGGGTCAAGCCACTGACCCTCGTGTGCTGCCTCTGGGCTCCCAGGGGCTTAAGCCCTCCGTGCCAACCTTCACCTTTTGCTCTGAAGCCCAGCCTGGCCGCCCACATGCCCAGGTCTGCTGGCTACTAAGCGAAGCCCACCAGAAAATCCTCTCTCCAGGTGTTCCTACGGCTCTTGCCCCAGCTGTTGCGGATGCACATTCGCCCACTGGCCCCAGTAGCTGTGCAAGACACCCAGCACCCACTGCAGAATGGCTCCCCCACAGGATGGTCGCTCACAGCTGGGGAGGAGGTTGTTCTCGGCCTGCCTCGCAGTGAACTTCTCTTCCAGCAGCGGCAGCACAATGGGCTGGTGAGGGCAGCGCTGGAGAAGCTAGGTGAGGCCGGGGGGTGGGGGTGGGGGATGACACTGGGGATACTCCTCCCCAGGGACTCCAGACTGGGAGGGCTACCTGTCAGCCAGAGCACCAGGCACAGCAGATGAGTGTTGGTAAGTGTCTGCGGTGGGGAGAGAGAAGCTAGGGCGGCTCAGGAGAGATGACCTTCTCAGACTATTTCTTCTCCACTCTATTCCCAAACCTTACCCTGTCTCCCCAGAGAAAGGCCCGGAGCCAGGGCAGAGCCAGGAGGTGTGCGGCAGCCTGAAGCAGGCCGCCCCGGCCATCCAGGCCTGTGTGGAAGCCTGCAACCTGATTGCCCTCGCCCGGCACCAGCAGAATCACTTTGAGAGCGTAAGGGGGACTGAGTGCCCAGGGAGGGACTTGGACCCGAGACGGGGGCAGGATGGGCAGGGTGGCCACGGTAGGGCGATGGGATGGAAAAAAGTGGAACTGGGACATCGGGGCCAGGGGACTACGGCAGAAGCCAGGCTAAGGCCTGGAAGTAGGTGTGAAGGGCCCAAGGCCATGGAGGACAGAGGCCTGCTGGATGGCCCCGGATAGCACAGTGATCCAGGGCAGGCTTGGTGTCACTGCTGGTCATCCCACACCCTGCCTCCCACCCCCAGGGGAGTGAGGAGTGGTTCTTGGTGGGCCGCGTGCTGGACCGTGTCTGCTTCTTGGCCATGCTCTCGCTTTTTGTCTGCGGCACTGCTGGCATCTTCCTCATGGCCCACTACAACCAGGTGCCTGCCCTGCCATTCCCCGGAGACCCCCGCTCCTACCTGCCCCCACCTGATTGAGCCAACCAACCACCAACTGCTGCTAGACACGTGGAGTCTTATCGGCTGTGTTCTTCAGTGGCTGAGGTCATGATGTGCTCTTTGGGAAGTGCCCCTCGGGGCCATATGAGCCAATGGCCCGGAGAAAAGCATGGGAAATAAAGAGACGGAGCTGGAGTCCCGGAGTGGTTGAGAATGGCTGTGGGCAGGGTGTGCTGTTGGGGTCAGCATCCACGTGGCACTGGCTAGCTAGTCCCAGCAATCCCCTCACTTCAGCAAAGCATTAGCAACTCCCATCATTTCTTTTTTTTTTTTTAAGATTTTATTTATTCATTTGAGAGACATAGAGAGATAGAGCATGAGCGGAGGGGAAAGGAAGAGGGAGAAGCAGAGCAGGGAGCCCGACTCAGGGCTCAATCCCAGGACCCAGCGGAGATCATGACCTGAGCCAAAGGCAGATAGATGCTTAGCTGAGCCACCCAGGCACCCCTTACTCCCCTCATTTCTGAAGCCCTAAGGACTCTGTCTTGTATAATGTCCCCAACTAGGCAAGGTCCCATCCCTCCAGGCCTGGGCCTCCTTTCTTTTTTATAAGATCCCCACAGGCTCCTAAAGGAGGGAGGTCAAGAGAGACGTGGAGAGTAGCAGGCAATGTTCTCTCGAAAGAATGGCAGCAGCCCACCCCAGCTGGTATCTCCCTCCCCCACCTTCTGGGCGCTATAGGCACCCAACACTCACAGGCACCAGTGACCTTTGCATTCATATGCATTTTTTGTCATTGATCCATGTGTCATGTCAAAGATTCCATGAGTTAAGAGCTCCTCACGTCATCATGGACAAGCAAGAGTCACTATTCCCCCACGTTTCGGATGGGCAAATTGGGGCCCAGATTAAGAAGGGCTTCCCAGAACACTGGTGGCTAAATAAAGTTTGGAGTCCAGAATTCCCAACCCAATTTTAGACACTCTAAGAAAGGTTCTATGGCCTGGAAAACAGACCCCTCTTCCTTCTCTTCTCAAAGGCCAGAGCATTTGCGCTGGTCCCAAAGGATGCTTAAGACAAGGAAGAGCTAAGCAGAGAGGCTGGGAGGTAACTGGGAACCGCTGGGCTTTGCCTTCTGAGAGGACACCCTGACCAGCCTCCTTTGGCCCCACTTTGGAAACAAGATGGTCAGCTGAGGTCTTCCTGGGAGAGAGGCAAGGCCCTGCTTTGAGAGTACAGCTGGGGCCTGAGTTCTGTTGGTGACAAGACAACTTGAGCAAGTCATTTGTGCAACAAGCCCCCCCCCACCCCCACCCCGGCTTCCAGCCTCTGCTTCTTCATCTGTAAATAGGGGTACAGATTTCAGTTCCTATCTACCCTCATCAAAGGATCAAAGGTGCAGGTGAAAGTGATTCAAAAGTGTGAAAGTGCCACATAAGACCCGACAACAGGACACTGTTGGGGGGAGGGGAGAGGACCCCGGAAATAACCCCCTCCCCCAAGTACAGGGTTGCTGGCTTTGAGGCTTAATCACCAGCAGGTTCACTTCAGTAACTCCAGTTTATGTGCGCGCTGCCCCGTGTATTTGGAGCAAGACACGTAGATCCGTGAGGCACTTTGATGATTGTGGGCCCATCTGTGGTTCCTGAAAGTTTCTCACTAGCTTTGTTACCCGCGGTGAGTCTCTCAACTTCTCTGCCTCAAAGGGCCAAGATGAGCTCTTTAGCTCCAGGCGCAAGTAAGCAAAAATTTACAATACTAATTTCGGGCGACTGTCTAGCGCCTGACACTGATGATGCCGTTCGATCCACACCGCAACCCGAAGAGGCAGGTACTGTCATATACAGTATGGCCAGTACCCAAGAGGAAACAGCCTCGGGGAGGTTAAAACAGAGTCCAGGATCTTGCAGCCCGCTCTGGGGGTGGAATCGGGGCTGGTACCGAGCAGTGTCCAGGGCCCGCACGGTCAGCGAGGCGGCTCGGCCTCTTTCTCCGAACCGCCGCGGGAGGGGGTCGGGGCGCCCCCTCCGACACGGGACAGGAACCCGGGCGGCGCGAAGACGGCGACCCGCACGTCCGCCGAGCCCCGCGCCTCCGCGCAGCCGCCCGGAGCGGGCGTCCGAGAATACCCGCCCGACACGGGGGTAGGGCGCAGAAGTTCCGCTGCGCTATGCGCAGCCGGAAGTAGCCGGGCCCTAAGCCGGGGGGAGACCCGGCGGAGCGGAAGTCACTCCGTGAGGCAGTGGCGACGGCGGCGGTGAGAGGATGAACAACAAGTTCGACGCGTGAGTGGCGCGTGGCCGCCCCACGGGGCCCCTTCCCCCAACCGTTCCCCGCGTCCGGCCCCAGCGGGGCTGGCGGCGGCGAAACTCCCCGGCGCCGTCCTCCCTCCCGGGCTTGGGCTGCGGGCCTCGCGGGCCCAGGCGGCCGGCGGGGAAGAAGAGGGGGCTGGGGAGGCGTGATGCAGGGGTCTCGGAGACGCCGGGACGTGCGAAGCGCGGGGTCCCGGGGAGGAGGCGGCCGTGACGCCCGGAAGGAGATTTTTGGACGCCCCGCCCCGGTGGGTGCGGGTGGCCAGCGGCGTGGAGGGGCGGAGACCGCGGCGGTTTGGGTGTTTCCGCAGCCTGGTTGCCCTGCCTCTGAATCCGGCTTTCCACACTCTCTAGCCTGGGCAGGTCACCTCGCCTCTCTGAGTCAGTGTTCCCTTCTGCAGAGTGGGGATGGGAACAGCCCGGGTCGGAGAGTTGGGAAGATGCAGTGAGGTAACGTGGCTCTTGGGCCTAGGGGCTGCTCAGTTACGGAATGCTCCTCGTCTTCTTCAGGCTTCTTCCTACTTCCTTTCTTCTCCTTCTTTTCCCTTCCAACACACTCACCGGGAGCTGCTCTGTTTTCTTGCCCAACGCGCACACTTGACGTTGCCCCCGTCTCCACTTCGTGTCTACACTATCTGGTTCCTAGATTAGTTGGAAGTGCAGAAAAGAAATGCAGAGTATTTTTGCATGTTTCCCTCTAGCGATTGTATTTTGAGGCAGATTATGTTCTTCTCTCTCTTCTAATAGTCTAGTAAATCTGTCTGATCTCCAGAGAGCTAGATTTCCAGGCCCAGACTCACCAGTTTGCCAGTTATTTGACAGTAGAAGAGTTGCCCAGCCATTGTTATCTAAACCACGTTAGTGGTTAGTGCCCTGCTGCTGCACGGGTGTGTTGTGATAAGGATCAAATCACATGCAACAGTGCTTAAAGGTACTTTGTAAATTGCTCATAGTGAGGAATAAATGTAAAGTGGCATCACTGTTTATTTAGGTTGTGACCCACTGCTGATGGGAAATTGGGGTTTTTCCAATACAGTGAGTGCTGATTGGCAAATTGAGGAGTCCTGGATTCCAGCACTCTAGGCAGCTCCTCAGGAATGTTTCCTGATTGCTCAGAAGTCTCCGGGACTTGGATAAAGTCTGGCTGAACGTTTCCCCAGCCTGCTGCTGAGCTGAGCCCATCTCAGTACAAACAGCCACACTCCCTCCCTCCCCGCCCCATTTGTACTCCTCATCTTAAGTCTCTGCAGCACCAAATTCCAGATCTAAGTCCTCCCTCAGTGGAGCTTTCTGCAAACCCTATACCCCTTCCTCCACTAAATTGAGCAGATCAAAATTTCACCTTAGGAAGACACTTTATGGTTTATCTAGCCCAGTCCTGCCAAAATCATTTGGGGATCTGCAGGAAGCTAATTTAAGAATGGTAGTAATGGCTTCTGTAGGTATCTTGGCTTGATACTTTTCACATATTATTTCTACTCCTAACAACACTGCAAAGGGGATTATGTTACCTCCTTCCACAGATAGGAAAATGAGGCCCTCTGAGGTTAAGTAACTTGCCCACAAAAACAGGAAGGCCCATGTGGCGGAATTCAAATCCAGGTTTGTTTAACCTTGGTTCAAGTACCTCTTGACAAAAATTAACCTGGATCAATTTTTTTTTAAAGATTTTTTTTATTTGACAGAGACACAGCGAGAGAGGGAACATAAGCAGGGGGAGTGGGAGAGGGAGAAGCAGGCTTCCCGCCGAGCAGGGAGCCCGATGTGGGGCTCGATGTGGGGCTCGATCCCAGGACCCCAGGACCATGACCTGAACCGAAGGCAGACGCTTAACGACTGAGCCACCCAGGCGCCCCTAACCTGGATCATTTTTAGTTAGTTCTAATTATTAAGTATTCGTTATAGTGAGTCAATTTTTAAAGATTTTTTAAAATTTATTTGACAGAGATACAGCGAGAGAGGGAACACAAGCAGGGGGAGTGGGAGAGGGAGAAGCAGGCTTCCTGCTGACCAGGGAGCTCAACATGGGGCTCGATCCCACATGACCTGAGCCGAAGGCAGACACTTAACAACTGAGCCACCCAAGCGCCCCTGAGTCAGAATTTTTTACCGTCTCCTAGCAATGCAGGAAAAAAACCAAAGCTTTCCTTTATTTGAAATTAGCAATTAGAGACCACGCTCCTGCCCCTGGTTTTGAAGTTTATTTGTTTAAGTGATCTCTACGCCCAAATGGGACTTGAACCCACAACCCCGAGACCAAGAGCTCCTCTGACTGAGCCAGCCCGGCGCCCCAAAAATCTGCAGTTTTCAGACTGTTGTTACGTGTTGGCTTCCAATTTCTTCACATCATTCCTAAGGACTGGTGCCAGTTTGCCAGCATCCTAAAAGTCCAGTTCCTGGAGCTAGGTACTGTAGTCTAGTCTGATAAGCTCAGGTTAAAGAAGAACTCTAACCTCCTCTAGTGTGTGGGCTCAACTTCTGTGAGTGTAACCTAGGACTGTAATTGCACCCCACCCCCCCACATCTGTCAATTCAGTTAGCTACCACTGTCATTGATCCTGTTGATATGTAAAACCCTAAGATGCTTTCACTGTTCTGCAGTCCCAGACTGATTAGTTTTCAGATTTAGATGCCATACTTGATTTTGTCATTCTTCTCTCTTTGCTAGCTTTTGGCCCTTTCTTAAAGTATTGTCTGAGCCACCTGTTTGGCGCTCATCCTATTCTGCCTTGTATGGCTTTGATTTGATTTGATTTTTAAGTTTTTATTTATTTGAGAGAGAGA